TAAGCAGTTGTAGAACCTTACCTTCCATTGTCCCCCCACTTGACCTTCCTTGTTTCCCTCCATATATAGACTATATTGGAGAAGCAGTTAGGCCTTGAGAGAGGCTGGCCGCCAGAGCAGGCGTGATGATGGTCAGAGCTGTCCCAGTAGAGGCCCTGTTTGGGAGTCGTTCTTCCTTTGTTCTCAATTTCTTTAATTTATTTTGGGCATGTACTTAAGGATGATATTTTTGGATGATACATTTTCCACACCATGATTTTCTTTACTTGGTGTTGGTTTTTGTTTTGTCCAGATAATTATTTGATGGTTAATGAATGATGCATTATGCTTTTGCTTAGTCTGTTTTGTTCATTGTTTTAATATTTTGCCTTGACACTTTAAGAGCCTTCGATAGATTGCATGGTTCCTATGTGAAACATTTATATACCTTGTAAGAGCTACCAATAAATTGTCATTTTTCTAGAAATTGATTCTTAGATTCGAAAGAATTAAGATAAATCTACGTGAACAACGGAATATATCCGAGATGGTGATATTTTAACCCGCCTCAGAGATAAGGAGAGGGTTTCAATCGACTAAAAGGGATAAACACTTGAGTAGGATAGGCAACGACTATAGTTCAGGATGAGGAGTGTTGCCAAAAAAACAGTCTAACCAACCAAGGGTGTAGCTCATGTCGAGTAGTATTGCCATAGCAACCGTCTGAGAATACTCTTGTAATTCTGTCGGGCAGCCTAAGGATATCACAACAAATCCTTCCAGACATAGAATAATTTCTCACCATATCAAAACCAACCTAAGTGCTCTATGAAAAGTCTGAATATGTGAGGTTATTCTGAATATATTTAAATCAACTTTTTTATTTGCCTTGGCTATTTTTATTTGTTGCTCTTGCATATTTTCTTTGCGTCAACCAAACTTCTCTACTACCACACTTCACAATATTTTCTTGCCTCCGCAATGCTTTCCTACCTGTTCATATAATAATATCCCAAATTTTTGTTAGTGACTAAAATGTAATTTTTGTAAGTTTAGTAGACAAAGTACAAAACTTGGAAAAGTTCAAGGACCTAAGTTGTAATTATCTCAAAAAAAAAATTTATTACATAAATGGATAGTTTACTATTGAAAATGGGGTTTTATTGAAATTATATTTTTGACTCGGAATTTATGTTGAAAACTAGAAATGTTTAAAGCCGGTAAGAAATTGGTAAACCGGATCGAATAGAAATTTCAGGAAAAATTGAAGGATGATAAATTAGGCTTAAAAATATTATTTCCACATTTTAAAATGATGTAAAATAATATAAACTATTGGATTTGAGGATTTAATTCCATGTTAAATTTGGATTGTTGTATTAAAGTGGTAATATTATAATTTTTGGGAAATTACAAGGGCAAAACGGTAAAGTGGAAAATAATTTGTCCATATTTGACTTGTGGGAGATGATAATGTTGAGGTGTCTTGTTTTTATGGTAAATATGAAGTTTCATTAAGGGTAATTTGGTTTTTTCTCAATTAAATGAATAAAATATTCATTTAAGGTTAAATTAAAGATAAATTAAGATGAAATTTACCTAACATTTCATTCAACCTTGTTCATTTTTTCCTCCGAGGTCGTGAACTTCTCCAAAGGTGAGAGAAAATTTCATTTCAATTTTTAAGTAATTTCCTTTGTATTTTTAGTTATGCCATGAAATAGAAAATCGATCTTAATCTTGCTTGATTTTAAAAATCCCAAATCCTAGGGTTTATGTTCATACTATGTTTTATGAAATTGATGATGATTATTGATGTTTTTTAGGATGTAGATGCATATTCAAGTTTTTACGATGATTAGAACATCTTCAATCTTACTAGAAATTCTTCTATGATTTTCGGTGAAATTATGGAGTTATAGAACTTTGTGTTTTGATGAAATTTTATTAGGTTTTTTATTGTAGAGATGTTATAAGGATGGATGGAAGTTGATTTCATGCTTGAATTGAATCAAAATTGAACAAAATCATAAAAACCCTAGTTTTAGAGTATTCGGCCATTGCTTGTATGGATGAGAAAAATTATGAAAAAATTATATAATGGTTGTAAATGATGTATTAAGTATTCTACAAGCCTTAGAAAAAATTTGGAACCATTTGGTAATTTTTGAAAAGTTAGGGGACCAATTTGGCAATTTTAGAAAATTGATGGGTTGTCATGTAATTGTTATATAATTGATGTACTATATTGGTAATTGCTGTTTGGGAATTGAAATGAGTGCTAGAATGTTAAATTTGATTATTTTGGAAGTTTGGAAAGTTTAGTGATTTTAATGCAAATTTTGAATTATTTGGGAGTGATTATTGTAATTAAGCCTTTGTATGTGTACTTGGTTTGTAATAATTTCAATGCTGGAATTTTAGTTTTGAAAGTTTAACTGATAATATGGTGAATGACCATTTTTTATAAGTTGGAAAAGTTGGTGCCAAAATTAGAAAGGATTATTAGTGTTAAAAATATTTGGTGATGAATAGGATTCAAATATGATTATGGAATTTGTTTTTGAAATGTTTTTATGTTAGTAAAATACTAACATATGTGTCGATATGAATTTATGATTTTGAACAGATCGTGATTGACTATGTGTTCAAAGAAAATCGAGTAAAAAAAGAACTAAGTCGGAGCATAGTGAAGCAAAATCTTTTGAAAAATATAAAGTGTCAAGGTGAGTGCAATTCATGCATGACCATATACATGGATGTTTTATACATCATTAGGAATACTCGCGATGAGTCTACCTTGTTTATATCAACATGATATCATGTCATTTTTCATAACATCGACATAACCATGATATGTCAAGTGTGAAATTATAATGTATTGATTACTGATAGATATGATATTTTGCCATGAATATTATTCGGGTATGAACTGCCCTGATGTTAATTATATGGGTATATGATGTTATGGATGAAATGATTTATACTATATGCCCAAGTAAGTTGTTGAATGAGAGGGTATAATTGGCATGTCATATAATGTATTGGCATGTACTTATTAATGTCCTAGTTGCTCTGTTAACTATTTTGGAAATGGTTGTAATGGCTAAACTAAACTGTTTTACTCTATTTCATCAAGGATGATATTATTCAGTATTACTTTTATAAATGGACGTATTTCATATTTTTAATATTATACATTAGTTTTATGTGATTTATTATTTTATATTTTTAATTATAATTGGGAGAAAATAAATTTCAAGTCATTTTTGAATTGGGAAATTTTTTCAGTAATTCATGTGACATTTATAACCTGTATTGGTATAAGTATATGGGTCATAGGTGTTACACATATAACCCATTACTAATTGTTTCTTCGTTTTGACAAGAATTCATGGACTAGCTTGTGACACCTAGTTATAGCCTTGCCAAAACAACAAAATCCTCACCAATCCCTGAGGACACGATAACTAACTTACTCTTTATTACTTGATTTGACTGTGTATACTTGCATAGTTTTTCTTTCCTTAGCATATACATTTACAAGCAATCAAGTTTTTGGCGTCGTTGCCAGGGATTGGCAACTGACGGAATGTTGATAATCTTTCCATAACAAATTTTATATTTCTTGTCACATTTTATTTAGTTAGTCTATCTTGTTTATTTTCTTGTTTTCTTTTGAAGTTTTTTTCATTGCATGATCCTGAGATCTGCTGATGAACCATTAGAACCATTCAACCCTAAGATCGAACAGTCATTCAGACAAAGATGACGTAACCAACGAGCCAAAGATTATATGAATCGACTGTAGTATAAAGCCGACAACAATATGGAAGATCATGCCGATCCCTACGTCGCAGCAAATAATCTTCATAGAAATACAGTAAGATCACGAGCAATAAGAGATCATATAAATCCAATTCTTGATGATCTTAACCCTGGAATCGTGGCACCTGAAATTTAAGAAACCCATTTTGAACTAAAATTGGTGATGTTTAACATGCTAAGCTCAATTGGTTAATTTGGTGGCTCACCTAATAAAGATGCTAGACAGCATGTACGTGCCTTCCTTGAAGTTTGCAATTCGTTCAGGCAACAAGGAGTGCATGAAGACGTGCTAAAGCTCAAACTATTTCCCTACTCACTACATGATCGATCCAGAGCTAGGCTTAGTGGAGTCCTTTCGGGCTCAATGGAATCTTGGGCAGATTTATGTCAAAGATTTTTGCTTCGTTACAACCCGCCTAATATTAACACCCATCTGCGTAATGACATTGCATGTTTTTGCAAGGCGATGATGAATCCATGTACGAATGCCGGGAAAGATATAAAAGTTTATTTTATAAGTGCGTAAACCACAGATTCCACGACTAGACTCAAGTCGTGATGTTTTATAATGGAGTCAACGCATCTACTCGAATGATGTTAGATGCCTTGACGAATGACACTTTGCTTGAAAAATCACATGAGGAAGCCTTTGATATCCTCGACAAGATAGTGAATAACGAATATCAATTCCCGACTACAAGGTTTGGGACCGATAAAAAAGTATTTGGAGCATACTAACTTGAGGGTACGGATTCAATATATGCTTAACTTTCTGCCATAACTAACATGTTAAAAAATTAGCATAGTCCAAATAAGGTGAGAGAAGTCAAGGCAACTAGTGTTGTATGCATTATTTATTGCGGCAACCATCATGAGAGTGAGTGTCCAGAAAACCAGGAATCCATTAATTTCATGGGACACTCAACAGAAGCAACAACAACCCCTAGTCTAATACGTACAATCCTGGATGGCGACAACATCCAATTTTTTCACAGGGTAATCAAGGGACTAACAATAACCATGCATGCAATTATAATAGGCCATAGCAGAATAATTCAGAACATCAACATTTTTAGGATCAGCATCAGTAGATGCCTTGGCAACATTATAAAGGTATATCTCCTTGGAGGCTTCATTGCAGGAATTTATGGGCTAAACAAAAGATTTATTGGCTTCAACAAAGACCTGGATACATGAACATTCATCGACAATTAAGAACCAAGGTAATTTGTTGCAAAGCCAAGCAACTCTTTTGCAAAGCCATAGTTCATCCTTGAGACCATTGGAGAACCAAGTGGGTCAAATTGCACGGTATTACATTCTCACCCACAAGGAAGTCTCCCTAGTGATACTAAGGTCACAAAACAACATGGAAAGGAACAGTGAAGTGTGCTTACACTGAAGAGTGGTACCCAGATTAATCAGAATGATAAGTTTGGGGGGAAGCAACCAGAAATTTCTCGCCAAGGCACTACACTATCTGGGGATCAAGCTGAAATTGTTGAACAAGAGGGATTGCCTGATGAGAAAGAAAAAAATGAAGTTTCAGCAAGTTATCAAGCAGATAGTGAGAAATTTATTGCCAAGGAAATAGTTTCCTCACCACCTATAGCATATAAAGTCAGACCTCAATTGCCCTTTCCTCAACGGTTGAAGAATCACAACAACGAGATTCAATTCAAGAAATTTGTTGATGTCCTTGACCAATTGTATATTAATGTTCCATTACTTAAAGCCATCGAACAGATGCCTTCCTGTGCTAAATTCCTGAAGGACATTGTCATGAAGAAGAGAATCATAGAAAGAATAGAAAATGTTATCGCGGCGAAAGAATTATGTTTTACATTAAGCAAACTTCTGTCGAAGCAAAAAGATCTTGGCAGCTTTGTGATACCATGTTTTATCGGTGACAACTTTGTAGGGCGAGCTCTTGTCGACTTGGGTTAAGTGTAAATTTGATGCCTGAGTCTATATTATTAAAACTCCAAAAGTGTATCGCTTGCCCAACCACCGTTATTTTACATTTAGATGATCAATCATATGTTCTTCCTGAGAGAAGAATTGAAGATTTCATTGTAAAAGTGGGCAAGTTTATGTTTACAGCTGACTTCCTCATTTTAGACTGTGAGGTTGATGAAAACGTACCAATCATTCTTGGGTGACCCTTCTTAGCTACTGGACGAATCCTAATAGACTACGAGAAGGGAGAGTTCAAGATGAGGGTGGGAGATCAAAGCATCACAATTAATGTCTTCAACTATATGAAATATGTCGATGATTCCGAAGAATGACATTACAATAGAGACATGGACTCAATGGAGGAAAATGGACCAGAAAATCCTGGCCAAGGCAAATGTTTACATATAGATGAGTACGATACTTTGTGCCAAGATAAAAAATTTCTAACATATGAACACAAAACGTTTAACCCAGGAGAAAATTTTCTGAATGAGGATTGTGAATACTTTTGCCTTGGCAAAAGTTTTTTGACAGAAGCCAATGGCAAATTTCCTGATGATGAAACCAAAGCGGGTTATGAGGATAAATTAGTGAAGGAGGAACAATCTAGCTTCTTTCAATCTAGACCATGTATGAAATGCAAACCCTTGGACTTCAATGAATTCATTCCCCCAAAATCATCATTACAACATGCACCTTTATTTGAACTTAAAATTTTACCACCGCAATTGAAATATGCTTATCTAGGTAGTAATGACACTTTATCGGTGATAATTTCTGCTAGTCAAACCTCCGAGCAAGAGGACAGTTTGTTAAATGTTTTGTCGCAGCACAAAAGAGCTCTTGGGTGGACCATGGCAGATTTAAAGGGAATCAGACATATCATATGCATTGAGAAGATCAACTTAGAAGATAGTCATAGCAATTCTGTGGAACTACAAAGAAGATTTAACCCAATAATGAAAAAAGTGGTGATGAAGGAAATCATAAAATGGCTGGATGTTAGAGTAATTTACCCAATATCTGATAGCTCTTAAGTCAGTCTGGATCAATGTGTGCCAAAGAAGGGTGGCGTTACCATGGTTAAGAATGAGAATGATGAGCTTTTAACTACTAGAATAGTCACGGGCTGGCGAATATGTATGGATTACAGGAAGCTCAATAAAACAACAAAGAAATATCACTTTCCCCTTCCTTTCATTGATCAAATGCTTGATAGGTTAGCAGGAAAAGCATTTTACTGCTTCCTTGACGGATATTTTGGATACAATCAAATAGCCATAACACCCGAGGATCAGGAGAAGACTATTTTCACATGCTCGTATGGTACCTATGCCTTTAGAAGAATGTTGTTTGGACTATGTAAAGCTCCAGCAACATTTCAGAGGTGTATAATGGTCATTTTCTCAAATATGGTGGAATACTTCATGGAAATATTTATGGACGACTTTTCCATATTGGGGGATGACTTCGACTGATGCCTTGGCAACTTATCTAAAGTTCTTAAGCGATGTGAATAATCCAACCTGGTGTTAAACTAGGAGAAATTTCATTTTATTGTAACCGAAGGAATTGTGTTCAGACACAAGATTTCTCTCCAAGGCATTGAAGTGGATAGAGCCATGGTGGAAGTAATAGAAAATTAACCTCATCCTACCACTGTAAAGGGCATACGTAGTTTCTTTAGACATGCAGGATTTTATAGGCGGTTCATAAAGGATTTTTCTCAAATCTCAATGTCTTTGGGTCTTTTGCTTCAACAAAATCAATCGTTTGTGTTTAATGATGATTGTTTGAATGTTTTTATAGATCTGAAGAAAAGATTTACCTCGATGCCAATTATTGTTCCACCTGACTGGGATGTCCCTTTTGAGCTCATGTCCGATGCTAGTGACTATGCAGTTGGGGTGGTGCTAGGGTAATGAAAAAGTAAACTCTTTCAGGTCATCTACTATGCTAGTAGTACCCTTAACGATACATAGATTAACTATACCACAAATGAAAAAGAACTTCTTGTCGTGGTATTTGCATTCGATAAATTTAGGCCATATCTCATAGAGACTAAGGTTATCGTGCATACTGATCACTACTCCATTAAATACTTAGTTAATAAAAAAGATGCAAGGCCTAGGCTCATTAGATGGATATTATTACTGTAAGAATTTAATTTAGAGGTAAAAGATATTAAGGGTACTGAAAACCAAGTAGCATATCACTTGTCTAGGCTAGAAAACAAAATCATTTATCATGACATTAAGGATATTCAGGAGGATTTCCCTGACGAGAGAATTTTATTTGTCACGGTTGTGCCGTGGCACGCTGACATAGTTAAACTTCTTGTTAGTGGTATTATGCCTCCAGATTTATCTAGATAGGGTAGAAAAAATCAGACATGATGTACAACACTATTACTAGGATGAATCATTCCTATTCAAGCAATGTGGCAACCAAATAATCAGCAGGTGTGTCCCAGAAGAAGAATACAAGGAAATTCTATTTCATTGCCATTCATCCCCGTAAAGAAGACACTTTGGTGGAATGAGGACTACAACAAAGGTCCTTTTATCTAGCTTCTATTTGCCCACCTTTTTCAATGATGCTCATAAATTCTATAAGTCATGTATCGATGCCAACACACTGGGAGTATATCGAAGAGAAATGAGATGCCATGGTAAAACATTTTGGAGGTCAAACTCTTTGATGTATGGGGGATTGACTTTATAAGACCCTTTCCCTTATCTTTTGGTGACTTATACATTCTCTTAGCTATGGACTACGTGTCCAAGTGGGTAGAAACCATGGAAACACCCAAGAACGACTGTAAGACCATGCTTAAATTCTTGCACAAAAACATATTTACGTGTTTTGGAACACCACGAGCTATTATTAGCGATGAAGGCACACATTTTGATAATAAATTAATTGTGAAGACACTAAAAAGATACGGGGTGCGTCATCAAATTGCCACGGCATATCATCCCCAAAAAAATTGGCATGATGAAGTCCCTAACTGGGAAATCAAGAAGATCCTTGAGAAGGTGGTTAACCCAAACTGCAAAGACTGGTCGCTAAAGCTAGATGAAGCGCTATGGGCCTATCGAACAACATTCAAGACACTATTTGGAATGTCCCCATTCATGATAGTCTATGGCAAGGAGTGTCATTTGCTCGTGGAACTTGAACATAAAGCATATTGAGCCATCAAGAAATTGAACATGGATACCCAACTTGCTGGAAAAGAAGATTGATGGAACTGAACGAAATGGATGAGTTTAGAGATCAGACTTACGAAAATGCCCGTCTCTACAAAGAAAAAACGAAACGATAGTATGATAAAAAAATTTCCACGGTAACTGTTTTCTGGACAACAAGTGTTGCTCTACAATTCATGACTCAAACTGTTCCCACGCAAGCTAAAATCTAGATGGTCATGACCGTTCAACGTACACCAAGTCCATAGCAATGGAGCAATAGAAATCAAGAACCTATATGATGGATCCACCTTTAAGTTGTATGGTCAACGACTGAAGGCATACAATGGAGCACCCGTTATGCACAATAACCTGACATCGATAACTCACGATGCCCAAGAGTTTGTTTTTCTTTCCTGAATAATTTTTTTTACCTAGGTAACCAAAATTTGCATTATGTATATAAATAAACTATGTTATTTTATTCTGCATGATTTGTTTATTTTTATTTTATTCTTTATTTTTGTTTTTTTTTTTGTATTTAGGGTACATGTGGCAGCACATGGTTGAAACTCATACATGGGAGGAAGAGAAACCTTAATTCAATTGGTTTAGGCGGCAATTTTAAATAGGGAAATATATTATTCCTTTACTATAAGTCCAATCAAATATCTCCTAATTAATACCATATCTTTTCCCATTCTATTTTTTTCGTTTTACTCCCAATAAACCACCCATACCCCATTATTTTTCCTCAAAACCACCCGTATCTCTTTTCTCCTTATTGTTTCCTTGTTTTTTTTTCTTTCAACCCTTTTCTTCAATCTTTCTTCCCTTTACTTTTGCATCTTTTGTTGTCGCGATAGTCCTTTTAACATCAAACACCATGGCCAGGTTCAAGAAAAATACAACCACGTCTACCTCTTCTGCTGTGGCTTTAGGATTTGAGCGTTTCCAAACTGCTAAGGCTGAAGCGAAGTACAAAAACCTACAATAATAACAAGTCTATTTGGAGGACAGCTTTGTCTTTCTAGATGAGGGTGAAGAACCCTTCGGACCAGAGGTAATGGATGTAGTAAGCAAGCATAAATGCGAGAAATTTGGTTGGCATCCAAAGGTAGTGGCTTCGATAATGATCCACGAATTTTACGTGCATTTAGGAGGCCCATCCCAACATAATGTTTATGTGAGAGGGAAATCTATATAGTTCTCTCCCTAAGCCCTCAACCACTATTTCAAGCTCGACAAATATAAAAAATTCCTTGCCGAGGCAGATCAAGAAACATACGATAGTGTACTAGATGACCTGTGTTTCGGATGGGCCAAGTTTGAAGGGAATGCACCAACCCATAAGCGGGTGGATCGTCGAGCCCTTAACCCAATTGCAAAGATATAGAATCATTTCTTGAAAGGCAAGTTGATACCTACTTCCCACAACTCAACAGTATTGGTAAGGCGATTGATGGTGCTGCACCTGAGGTAACATTTTTTTCCTAACTTGATAAATGCTCTATGCATGAAGAAAAAAGTCCCCGATGAGCCATTCGAGGACTTTATCAATTCAAAGGAAGGCATCACCAAAAAGAAGGTGACTGAACTTATGAGCTTCGATGACAATACTCCACATAAGGACCTGAAGCAAGGAGAAATCAGTTATCGCAGTAAGAATAGCAGCCATGGTTACATCTACTAGAGAGACGTGAAAGAGACTAGAGCGCATGGAAAATCACATGCAGACTTTCTTCAACTATGTCAATGTAAATGTTGCATAGCTAAATGTCTTCTTCAAGGAGCTGC